CATCATTGTTGCTATCTTTGTAATCATTATCATTCTTATTATTCATTACCTTATATTTATTATTATATTATTATCATTACTATTATTATCATCATTATGAATGGCAAATTTAATAAAGTTAAATAAAAAATAATAATTATGATGATAATAATAACAATAGTGATAATAATAATAATAATAATAATAATAATAATAATATGATAATAATAATAATAATAACACATAGGTACGTAAAAACAGGAAAGAAATAATTATGATGGCAAAAATTATCATTATCACCATTACTATGATTATCATAATTACTATTATCATTATCATTGTTATTATTACTGTTGTAATAATGATAATAATAACAACAATAATAATGATAACAACAAAAATAATAATGGTATTAATAACAGAACGATGGTTATCATTGTTATTATCATATCATTATTACGGTGCCCTCCATTATCACCATCATTCTATCACTGTTGTTATTATTACAATTATCATTATTATCCTTACTTTCATATTATCATTATTGTTACCATCATTATTGCTATCATTATTATTATCATCAAAATTATCACAATTCTAACAAAAGAAAATAAGAAAATATTAGTTATCGCGATGACGATAATAATGACAATATGTATAATATAATTAATTATGATAATGACAAAAAACATTAATCATGATAATGCTATCAATAGTGCTGATTATCATAAAATACCAAAGCAGTGATATTTGCTATTGTCACTTTACTTCAGACATGAATTTGCTGTAATATGCAGATATAAACACTGAATGGAATTAAAACAAAACACATTTACTATAACCTTTTTTTAAGTCTGCAACAAACCCATTGATCGCTTTGGGTCTTTGATACGTAAACCGGAAAAATTATCTTCTAATCAACGTCACGACCGGTATATATTTACTTAAATACGATACCCGGACAGCACGCAATGGCTTGAAATGCGCGCCGTAAAGTTACAAGTGGCCAACATCTCTCTCGGCGATCAAACCTGTCAAGCTTTCAGAATATACCTGCTATAAAATCTGTTTTCGACGACCATTGCTGCATGGAACGGCCGCGCGACGCCAGGTAATATATATCGGACGAATGATATTGGAAACACGCGATCCACTTACGCATGCGCGGGCGAGCATACGTACACAGCCAGATGTACACTTATATACAGACAAATACTTATACATACATGTGACGCAGCACACTACACCAACACTCATACATACATACCCTCGCATAAAGACCCACACGAAATAACAAATACATACATAAATACAGACACACGCACAGGTAACACAACCAATCAAGCACATACACGCATATACACATACACAACTCCAGCCATATTTCACTGTAATGATTATCTGGATTTAATTAATCTGGTGTCTATATGTCTCCTTTGGGCCGAAGCTATAACGAGGTAACAAATTTACAACAAATACCTGTACATAAATCAACTGAATAATAAACTAGTGGGAGGGACGGGAAGGATGAAGGGGAAGAGGGGGTTAATATGGGGGAAGGGAGGGGAGGGAAGGGAGGAGGGGAAAATGAAGAACGCTGAGAAGGAGGGGTGAAGGAAAGTAGGAGATTATAGGGAAGATGGAAAGAATAAGGATGGAGTGTTAGGATTTGAAGGAGGAGAGGAAGGGGAGAAGGAGGAACGCTGCGAAGGTGGGGTTGAAGGAAAGTGGGGGATAATGGAAAAGGGAGAAGGAATGAGAATGGGGAGGGAGGATTAGGAGGGGGGGTTCATGTGGAGGGGAGAGGACGAGGAGGAGAGCTGAGAAAGAAGGAAAGAAGGAGGAGGAGAGAGGTGAAGGGGAAAGGAATGAAGATGACGAGGGAGGAGTGGAAGAAGGAGGATGACAAGACAGTAAAAAAAAGGGGAGGGGAGAGGACGAAGTGGAAATGGGGAGCAAGGGACATTCTTAATAATATAACCGATACTTTGACTAAAGACTATAGACATCTCCTCAAAGACAGCGAACTTTTGGAAACTTTGTCCGAGTTTATACACATTATACACACACATTTGACATCTGAATTTTCAACTGATTATAAATTAAAGTGGATTGCAAATGAATAAATGATAACACAACCGATGACTTATCTTACGTGCTCATAACAGATTTTACTCCCTTGTAAAATGGACCTTTTTATCCTTTAGTGCGTAAGATAAGGAAAGAAATTGCCTATTACTATGTGTAGGACCCTGTTAACGTTCTTATCTTCAAGGCCACAAGTCGTTTTCAAACTTAACATCTCAACTCATATCTTCAGCGTAAATAAATAAAGAAGTAATACCGGTAGAAAATAACAAAGGCAAGGAAGCGAAAGGAATGTTCCAGAAATGTGCCATTAAGGAAAGAAACAACAGATGGAAATTAAAAGTCATGAAATAATAGACAAGTTTCCAAATATGAATGCGAAAAGCCAACGCGGAACACGGCAGACGAAAGAAATGGTTCGAGGCAATTGCAGTAATAGACCATGAACCAAAATATCCGTGTTGTTGCCTGGGTAATGGAATTTCAAAATTGGAACTGAGAATGTTTTTTTTTTTTATTGTTCTAAACATCAAAATTTAGAATATCCAGCGGCAGTGTTGACAGAACCGTCAGTGAAATGAAACTTCGAAGAATAATAGACTCTTTTATTACCCTACGTAGCTCTTAAACCCTCTACAATAATCATCTAATTCTAATGGTTAACTCATCTATTAATCCACGTTGTATTCGTTTACTGAAGGGAAACAAACATCAAAAATACGAAAACGGATTCTCATAAGCCACGAACCTATCTTCATAACGCGACCTATTTTTTCAGGATCCAGTAAGAGCCCTAAACATGATTTTTCCCCAATGATGCATTTGTTTGTCTGTCTGGCTGTGCGCATGCGTGTAGATGTTTCTTCCTTGACTGCGCTCTTGTGGAAGAAAATTATCAGTCTTAAAACACAGACAAAACTAACCTTAATGAAAGATATGCATCAACAGAATGCCTGATGCACACGCAAACAAACACAACTTTGTGGCGCTGGTAGTTTTCTGTGACACGCCTGTCAACATCAGCTCACGATGAACCAAAACAGCTCGAATTTCCGCGTCAATGACAACCAAAACAACAACAAACATGACGAAGAGTGCGGGGACAACGAACTTATTTTCGTTTCTTTTAAACAGTGGATAACGGACTTTTTTGTGAGGAAGTACCTTTCCAAAATATGCTTATTCTTTCATCTTTCAAATTATCTATTTCTCTATTCTATCTATTGATCGATCGATCTATAAATAATTACCGATTCTCGTATATTTTCAATTTCAGTTTGAAGGGCTAGAAACAAAAGCAATATTTTAGTAATAGGCTAGTAATTCATATAAGCTCTGTCGCCATCATTTATATTATATACCACTAATTAATCAATTCCACTGGGTTGATAATTAATACAATTGCATTAGCAGAGGCTTAAATAGATTAAAATATGTATCCTCGTATCCCGATCCATTTTGATCTGGAATCAACTTTCGTCACATAATCACACTCGTTCCAGAAAGAGCGACGTGGAAGGAAGGGAAATAAAAAGTGGGAATAAAACAGGAAAAGCAGTTCAAGTATAACAGGAATAACAGCGCGAGAATCTTAATTGTCAGATAAACTAATGGCGACAAGGAAAAATGGGGATAAAACATGAAATACAGCGTACTAAAACAATCAAACTTTAATAACCCGCCTCAGTCAAATAACGAACAGACAGCATAGTTCCTTTAACAACTTACCCGTCTCCTTTCTCCAGACGACAGTGGGATTAGGAAACCCTTTGGCCAGGCAGTGGAGGGCCACGGTTCCGCCCAGGGCCACGTTGGCACTCGATGGCTCTACTACCCAGGCTGGGGGCACTGCAGGACGCACAGGGTCAGAGCAAGGCAACGAGAAATGTCAGTTTAAAGCCATGGTTAAAAAGAGAATAGAATTATATATATGGAATACAATATGTCACATGATATATCATGGTTATCAAAATGCAGAACATTTTGTAAACAAAGGTTGATGTTTATTCATATTTACATCACTCTTGTCAGACTAGCAGGTCTGTCTACAAAAAAACAAAATGAAAAACTACACCACTGTCTTTATGAATGCATGTATATCATCTATCAACACACTATGCCAAAAACAAAATCTCTTTTTACTACTCTTTTTTTTACTTTTGTGCTAAATATACGTAAGTTTTTATATCAAGCTCTAAACACAAAAGATACTCTATATAGCAAGAATATCATAATTCTCCATTGCAAGTTGTTTTGAGTGGTATTTCTTGTGTCAAAAGAGAAAGTACCAGAGAAGATACCTCACGCATGATACACACGAGTCCTGTTGGTCCTTTCGAGTCCAGGTCAAGGTGTTCGTCCGAAGCATAAACAGCGAATGGTTGTTGGTAACGAACTGCTTGTTAAGAGCACGTGCACAGTGGGACTATGGTGTTGGGGGTGAGGATGTGATACTTTTAAGATATATATCAATATTAGTTTATACTTTATTAAACCAAGTATGATTTTTTTAGAATGAATGTGATTCGACCACGTCCTCACGACACATACCAAGTGTGGGTAATTGAATCGTCAGTGTGAATGTCGAAGGGTCTGATTTCCGTCCGTCTGTTGTCTGAACTTACCAAAGGGCGCCCTCTATTCTTTCTCTCTGTAAACATGTTAGCACCTGCTTATAGATATTCATGAAACCCTTAAAGCTCTTCCTCCACTTAACCGTACTCCCTTCCCTGTTAATTTCTCTTTGACAAATGGTCCCCTAATGAAATCGTGTGAGACTTGCGCGCCCTACCGCTGACGGTCAGGGGGCCGGTCGTCGTGGCGGTGCGGGCGGGGTTCGTGGCCGCACAGGTGTAGTTGCCGGAGTGGGCCGCCGTGGCCCGCTCGATCACTATGATGGAGGTGAAGACATCCAGTTGCGAGAAGCGGACGTCAAGCTGAGGGTCGATGGGCTGGCCATCCTTTGTCCAGGAGAGCGACACGGGCTGGTCGCCCTCCTGCACCAAGCACGTGGCCTGCGCGCGCATCCCTGCCCGGGTACCCGCGGGGAAAACCATGGGCGCCAGCCGGGGCGGCACTGTAACACACACACTCATTCTCACCAGAAGCAAAGAGAAAAAAGGGTCAAGTTTCTTTTCTATTCTCCCTTCTGTTACAACTGGGGATGTTTCTTATCCTTTTGAAGGAGTGGATGGGGGAGGAGGAAGAATAGAGGAAGAGAAGAAGAAGAAGAAGAAGAAGAAGAATGTTTTTTATGTGTTGGCCTTAGGGTGCATTCTAAGGGTGCCCTTGCCCTGCGGCTGCCCAGCTCGCAGGAGACGGGCCTCGGCGGGATCTCTGACGAGCTGGGCATCCGGCGGGCGTGTCCAGAAGGCAAACGAGACAGAAAATAGAAGGAGATGTGTGTGTAAGTATCCATATACATGTGTGTGCGAGTGTACAGAAATAGGCGGGTGTGTGCGTGTGTGTTAGTCGAGAGTCTGTGAAGGGACAGAATCGGGCAAGGTGACGTAAGCACAGGGAGGGAAAGTCGCGGTAAGTCAGGAGGCCTCACGGGGCAAGAAAGCTAAATGAAAACCACGTCACAAACGTAAACACATAAATCCAATCCTGGAAAAAACACAATAGTAAAAAAGTAAAAAAAAATAGGTAAGGTAAAAGGATTCTGTAAATAAGTAAAGAAGTGTCAAGACCACGCCCATGCTGAAGCTCCTAGCGCTGTGTGGGCGTACCGGTAACGTCGAGAGAGGCCGAGTGGGTGGCCTTCGCCCAGCTGTTCGCGGCTGTGCAGGTGTACACGCCGCTGTGCTGGGCTGTGAGGTTGTTGATCAACAGAGCGTTGCTGTAATCGCCCATTTTGGACGTGGAGATGTCCTCAGAGCCCTTGATATCACGCCCGTCCTTCTGCCAAGTGAAGGTGATGGGCGGGTCCCCCGTGCTAACGATGCAAGCCACGCCGGCGCGCGTTCCTTGTTGCAACTTCTTCTCAAAGTGGAAAGGCAATATTTCCGGCGCCACTGCAATATACCTGTTGCTCAGGCGCTGGTCCGAAAGCCTCACGGCTCGCACGCTCACACACGCTCGCTCACACGCGTTCTCACAAGAATACTCGCCAAACAACTCACGGAAACTCGGCGGAAGCGCTCACAGACTTACTCAGTGACACAGACTCACTCTGGCAGGCAAGGTCTCACAGACACTCGGCAGACCCGCTCACAGACACTTTCTACAAAAAAATACGCACAATCATACTCGATAAGCACACACAGACCAGTTCCACAGGCACCCGCGGCAGACGTACTTAAAAAAAAGTAATAAATTGTACCTTTTCTTTCTTTCTTATCATATGATATTTTTTCACCGCCATCTAGATAAGAGAACTTTAACGGACTTTGTTATTTGATACATTCATTCGACGACATTTTGTTTTAAAGAAAACTGATAAGCATAGAAGATGGGTGGTGACATATAATCTCTTTAGACTGTGGTAAAGTGACCGGTCAACAAACAAACAAACTGACAAAAAGACTGAATATCTGTTGATGAAATGCTTTTTTTTCACAGTATTTTTTCAGGACTTATTCATGACAATCATTCCTGCGTTTATATAGATTAAGCTGGCATGTGTGTTTTATGTCGCCATTAATTTCTTTCTCTCTCTCTCTCTCTCTCTCTCTCTCTCTCTCTCTCTCTCTCTCTCTCTCTCTCTCTCTCTCTCTCTCTCTCTCTCTCTCTCTCTCTCTCTCTCTCTCTCTCTTGCACACACTCTCTTTCTCTCCCTCTTGCAAACAGACACTTTCATTCTCACTCTCTTTCTCTCCTCTCTTGTACATAGACACTTCCTACCTCTCACTCTCTCTCTCCTCTTTTCCACACAGAAACATCCCCCCCTCTCTCTCTCTCCCCTCCCTCTCTCTCTCTCTCTCTCACTTTCTCTCCTCTCTCACACACAGAAACATTCTCTCTCTCTCTCTCTCTCTCTGTCCCTCTCTCTGATTCTCCCACAAGCGTCTCTCTTCTCCTCTCTTTCTCTCCTCTCTCACTTCTCTCTCTCTCTCTCTGTCCCTCTCTCTGATTCTCCCACCCTCTCTCTTTCTCTCCTCTCTCGCACGTGGAAACATTCTCTCACTCTCTCTCACTTTCTCTCCAGTCTCTCACACAGAAACATCCCCCCCCTCTCACTCTCTCTCTTTCTCTCTCTCTCGCACAGAACATTCTCTCTCCTCCCCTCTCTCTCTCTTTCCCTCTCCCTCTCTCTCTTTCGCTTTCAACATTTCTCTTGTTTATATCTATCTAGCATGAATATTATAGAGAGTTTGCCAGTCTTATGTAGTATTAGATGCTTTTATACAAATCTGAGATTATTTTAAAAAATCGTAGGAAATGCCATGAAGTTAATAGCAAGTAATGCGATTTGAAGTCTTCTTAAAGCGAAATGTTACTAGAATCATTGCCGGTCACAGATGCAAGGTGCAAATGACTGCCATGACCTTTCCTGCTGTTTGGCCCTTCACTCGCACACTTCGCTTTCTCCCTTTCAACACTCACACTTCACACTGACGCTTTCCTTTCACTTCACACTGAGAGGCAAGCAGTAAACTTTACAGACTCAGCGTGCAGTGAGAAAATACCTTCTTCTCTTCGGCCTACTTACATCTACGTGATTGTGAGGTAAAATTAATGGTTATATCCCAAACTTAGAATCTAAAAAAGTTGACATTATTTCAACCGGTGCAGGTGTTTGGATTTCTTAATGAAGGTATTTTCGAGTTACCTTATACTATGTTTTCTTATATTTTTATCAAGACTGATGTGTTAAAACTCAATGAAAGCATTAATTCAACTTATTTCTAAGTTACCCCTGAAACTTCACAGAAAACTTAAGCAGATAAAGATTCCTAGTAACAGAAAATGCCCTTATTAAGAAATATCATACCTAATAATAATGATGATAAACAGAATTCATGGTTGCAAAGTTGTAAAAATAAAAGGAATCAACATAATTTCTAAGTATAATTTGCCAGCAGAAGAATTAGCGACCGAATCAAAGCCGGCTTTACACTCCGACATTTACCATTGATGTTATTTTGTTATTCATGGCTATGTTATTACATTTCACGCTCTGTTCTACTTATTCTCGCGGCTGTTCTTGTTCCTGACAGGGCCAATGACACACGATTAATTATATTCATTAATTTAGATTATGACCGAAAAGAATCAACCTTACAGTCGTCCTTATCGCTATTATTTATGCTCTGCTGATGATCCGCTGACTAAAGGTGTGATGTGTGTGAGCTATGATTTCTGGCGCTGATCATCATTAGTCATTCCGGAAAACCGCTGCGGGCAAGATGACTTAGGATTTATTTCTAAATTATTAGTTAAAACGTGATCACCAGATTGGAAACGGCTCGCGGGCATAATACAAAAAAGATCACACAGCAATCTGTAACTATCCTTTTATAGAATATTTATTAGTTAGAAAAAAATTCAATCTTTAAAATGTATGTATGAGTGAAGTATGATTTGTATTACACATTATTTTTATCAAATGTTGTACGTAAACGATTTTATCCTCTGATGAAAGAATCGTTAAAGGGAGATAGTTGATAATTCCTAATTTTTAATAACGTAACATTAGAGAAAAAACAGTGATCACGTTATAAGCTCCACATTTATGTTCTGGATTTCCATCACAAATAAAACATTTATCAGAACGAGATGTCATATAGTTCCTCCTTTTAAAATACAATATGTATATATATCAACACATACACATCTATATGTATATATATATATATATATATATATATATATATATATATATATATATATATATATTATATGTATATATATATATATATGTATATATATGTATATATATATATGTATATATGTATTATATATATATATATATATATATATATATATATGTATATATATGTTATATATATATATATAATATATATATATATATATATATATAATATATATATATATATATATATATATATATATATATATATATATATATATATATATATATATATATTATAATATATATATATATATATATATATATATATATATATATATATATATATATATAATATATATATATATATATATATATATATTATATATATATATATATATATATATATATATATATATTAATATATATATATACATATATATATATATATATATATATATATATATATATATATATAATATATATATATATATATATATATATATATATATATATATATATATATCAGCCTCGACATATTTTTCCATCCCGAGACCGAGTGGGAACCGCCGCCGCCGGCGCTTCGGCAACACAGCGCCCACAACGTACCCATGACGCGCACGGTCAGCTGCTGCGTGTCCGAGCGGCCCTGCCTCGACATGGCCGTGCACGAGTACTGCCCGTCGTCCGTGCCCCGCGTCACCTGCTCGATCACGAGGGTGCCGTTGGGGAAGACGCGCTGCCGGTGCCCCGTCGGGAGTCGCACGCCGTCTGCAGGAGGCGACGGAGGAGGGCGGCAGCTCCCCGGCGGCGCGGGTGGGGGAGAAGGGGGGAGAAAAAGGGGTTAGTGGGGTGTTTGAGGTGAGGGGCTGGGGGAGAAGGAGGGAGGGGAGAGGGAGGGAAGGGAAGGGAGCGGAGAGGGAGGGAAGGGCAAGGGGAAGGGAGATGAAGAGGGAGGGAAGGGAAAGGGAAGCGGGAGAGGGAGGGAAAGGGAAGGAGATGGGAGATGAAGAGGGAGGGAAGGGGAAGGGGAAGAGAGAGAGGGAGGGGGAAGAGGGAGGGAGAGGGAGGAAAGGGCAAGGGAAGGGAGATGAAGAGGGGGGGAAGGGGAGGGGAAGAGAGAGAGGGAGGGGAAGAGGGAGGGGAAGAGGGAGGAAAGGGCAAGGGGAAGGAGAGGGGGAGGGAGGGAAAGGGAAGGAGATGAAGAGGGAGGGAAAGGCAAGGGGAAGGGAGGCGGAGAGGGAAGGAAAGGGAAGGGAAGGAGAAGGTGGTACGGGAGAAAAGGGAGAGACAAAGGAATAGGAATAAGAAGGGCAAGGAAAAGGGAAAAAAGAGAAGGGCAAGATAAAGGAGAATGGGAAAAAGGAAGTAATTTGAAGGGAATGGGGAGGAGATGAGGTCGGGACTGCCATAAAGTGCATTTTCTTATCTATTCCCATATTACAATTCATTAATATCGACCTTATACTACTTATCTTAATGCATCACCGCACAATCCATCACATCAACCTTATTCCAAAATAAACAAACAAACAAACAAACACACACACATACACAACACAGACCAACATCATCCCGAAAGAAAAACAAACAAACAAACAAACAAACACACACACACAATATAGACCAACATTATCCCAAAAGAAAAACAAACAAACAAACAAACTCAAACACACATACCACAACATAAATCAACATTGTTCCCGGAGTAAAACAAACAAACAAACACACATACACAACATAGACCAACATTATCCCAAAAGAAAAACAAACAAACAAACAAACAAACAAACACACATACCACAAAATAAATCAACATTATTCCCAGAGAAAAACAAACCAACAAACAAACATACACAACATAGACCAACATTATTCCATGAAAAAACAAAACAAACTCAAAAACACATACCACAACTTAGACCAACATTATTCCATGAGAAAAACAAACCAATAAACAAAGAGACAAACACACATACCACAACATAAATCAACATTATTCCCAGAGTAAACCAAACAAACAAACACAGATACACAACATAGACCAACATTATCCCAAAAGAAAAACAAACAAACAAACTAAAACACACATACACAACATAGACCAACATTATTCCATGAAAAAAAACAAACAAACTCAAACACACATACCACAACATAAATCAACATTATTCCATGAGAAAAACAAACAAACAAACAAAGAGACAAACAAACCCAAAACATCCACACGCACAGAAATCCACAATAACAACCTTTCGTCCAGATGATCTTGTGCAGCGGATAACCCGAGGCAGGACAGGTCACGGAAAAGGTCTCCCCGGCGACCGCTGACAGCTGCCCCATGGGTCGTATGTGGGGCGGTCCGTACACGTTCAGTCGTGCCGAGTGGACGACCTTGCCGGCGCTGTTCTCCGCCGTGCAGCTGTACGTGCCTCCGTCGGTCACGTGCACGCTGCTGATGTTCACGTGACTGATGACGTCACCGTGGGCTGATACGTACTGGCCCTTCAAGTACCTGGAGTGTGGGGAGAGAGGTAAAGGTGGGGGGGGGGGCAATGAGAAATTGGTATATGGGGATAAACGATAAATCAAATTATAATAAATGGTGATAATGATATACTCATGTAAAAGCAACAACAACAACAAAGTGCAAATTCGATCAGGCTCTCTCTCTCTCTCTCTCTCTCTCTCTCTCTCTCTCTCTCTGCCCTCTTTCTCCTCCTTTCCTTTTCCCTCAGCCGCTCCCTCTCCCTCATTCCCTCCCTCTCTCAGCCTCTACTTTCCCTCTCCATATCCTTTTCTCCTCCCCCTCTCTCTCCTTTCTCTCTTTTTTTCCCTCTCCTCTCTCTCCCTCTCCGCCTCCATCCCTCCCTCGATCCCTTCATCCCTCTCTCTGATAACATCCATCTCGTTTGATAATACAGCAATAATGATAATTATGATAATAATAATGGTACTATTAATATGATAATATATATTAATATGATAATAATAATAGTAACAATAATAATAATAATATGATAATATATTAATATGATAATAATAATAGTAACAATAATAATAATAACAATATTGATAATAATGAGGATAATGACAACTGATAATAATAATAACAATAATATCACTAATAGTAATAATAATAATGATGATTACAACGATAATGATAATAGTAAAAATGATGATAAAGATAACAAGAGTGAAAACAACAATAATAATTACGAGAATAATAATAAGAATAATAGTAATGATAATAATAATAATGATAATGATATCAATAATAGAAGTAATAATAATGAAAATGATCATGCCGATAATAACAATAACAACTACAAGAACAACAATTGTAATTATAATGATAGTAATGAAAATGATGATGCTAATAATGATAGCAACAACAACAACAATAATGATGATAATGATAATAATAATAATGATAATAATATGAAATAATAACAATAACAATGATGATGATAATAATAATATAATAATATAATAATAATATATAATAATATAATAATAATAATAATAATAATAATAATAATAATATTAACAGTAACAATAGTGAGAACAATGATAATAATAATGATCATGATAATAATAACAATAATATTGATAATGATAATGATAACAATATCAATGATGATGATAGTAAGATAACGGTAATGGTAACAATAATAATAATAATAATAATAATAATAATAATAATAATAATAATAATAATAATAATAATAATAATAATAATAATAATGATAATAATAATGATAATAATAACAATATTAATGATAATAATGATAATAATAATAATAGCAATTCTTCTATTACTACTACCACCAATAATAGCAATAAGGAAAATAATAATAATAATAATAATAATAATAACAATAATAATAATAATAATAATAACATTGATAACAATAATGATAATAATGATAGCAATAATTACAATAACGATGATACTGATAATAGCATATAGGAAGGTAATAATAATAATAATGATGATAACAATAAAAACAATAATGATAATAATGATAATAATAATAATAATAATAATAATAATAATAATAATAATAATAACAATAATAATACCAATAATAATGATAATATCAGTGATAATAATGATAATGATAATGAATATAGAAAAATATAACAGTAATAATGATAAAATAACATAATGATAATATAGTAATAGTAATAATACTAATAATAATAATAATAATAATAATAATAATAATAATAATAATAATAATAATAATAATAATAATAATAATAATAATAATAATAATAACAGTAATAATAATAAAAGTAATAATGATTATAAGAATAATGATAAAATGATAATAAAAATAATAATAATAATAGCAGTAACAATAGTACCAAATTTAATAAAAGTAATAACAATTACAATAAATAACAATGGTGACAATCATAATGATAATAATAATAATGATAATAATAATAATAATTGCAATGACAATGACAATTATAATAATTATAATGCTAACACTAGTAACAACAGCAACAACAATAATAAAAAGAATGACAATAACAATAAGAATGATAAAATAATAACAAAATAAAAAGTAATAATCATAATAATAACAAAAGTAATAATCATAATAATAACAAAAATAATAATCAAAATGATACACAAGTAATAATCATAATAATAACAAAAGTAATAATCATAATAATAACGTTAATAATGATAATAATAATAAACTTTCCCCGCGTCTCCCTCCTCCTCCGCCACCGTCCGTTATACTGAAGTCGCGTTGTTAATGCTCGTGCTTTTAGTGTCCTTTCTGTTGGCATATTGCTGTCTCGTTCGTATGTTTTATTCTTCCTCTTTTGTAACTTTATTGGGTTATTCTTTGACCTGATATTATTAGCTGTAATATCGTAAATGCAAGTACACGCGCATGCAAAAAAAGATGAAGAAGAAAAAGAAGAAAGAAGAACCAGGCAAATGAAATGAAACATGTTCATTGCGTTAAAAGCAAAAAAGAAAAAAAAACAAAGAGAGAGAGAGAGAGAGAGAGAGAGAGAGAGAGAGAGAGAGCAGAGAGAGAGAGAGATAGACGAGAGATGCGTGAAAAAAAGAAGAGAACTTATCTATAAATAATTCTCTGGAAAAGGAAAAAAATTCTCTTTCCCCCCTAAGCGAATGCCATCTGAGGCTCCATAACGAAAATCACATCTGTCTTACTTAACTTTCGAAGTCACTTAAATAACCTCTCATCTTTACGCTATATTTTTTCGGAGAGGAATTAGGGAAGGATAAGATTGAAAATGATGGATAAAGAAGGAAGGAAGGAGATGAGGAGTAGGAAGAAACGGAGTAGGTGAAGAGGAGAAAAAACGCGGGAAAAAGACAGCTTGAATTATCATACACATTTCCCTTCAGATTCAGCCACTCACTTTACTCGCTTCCTAACTCCCCCTTAAAAAAACGCTACGTCACAGACCAAAGACCCGGATCGAAATGCATTCAAAAACGTCTCCCAACGGTCACAATGGCCTCCGCGCGCGCCCGGCCCGAGTGACGTCACACCATAAAAATAAGCAACACGACATCCGCAACGGCCTCAGGAGACAAGTCAACCGATCGCGACGACTACGAACCTACTTTTTTTTATCTTCTTTTCCTTTTTTTCGTCGAGACTGAAAGAAGTCCAACAGCGGCGGCGGTGGCAAATAGGATTCTTTTCCCGGGAATATATATATCTGGAGGCGAGTGGACACGGATCGCGGTCTTTGTCGGTGAGGAGCAGGGAGCGCGGGCGGGAGTTAAAGGCCGTTGTCAGACGAGGCACAAAAGGAGTGCTGAGCTGGACGCGATCGCGGCTCGTGACAAAATGTATGTCGGGGAAGTGACCAAAGAGTTGGGAGTCCTGTTGTATCTTTTGGTCTCTTGAGATTAATTTTAAATTTTGTTCGACCGTTGACTTTATACTGTTTATTTATCTATTTATTTCTAGAAACTTTTGCGCTTATCAGCGTCGTGTAATGTTTCGTAATTGTGTTTTTTAACTCTCGTTTTTTCCTTCTGCTTTCTTTTTGTTATGTTTCGTAATTGTGATTTTCATCGCATTTCTTACTTTTTCTTCTCACTTTCTATCTCTGTTCCTCACTCGCTCCTCTTAACCCTTTCTCTCTTTCTCCCTCTACTCCCTTTTCTTATCCCTCCCCCTTTCTCATACCCAAAGTAAGGAAACTAAAATACATACAAAAGTACCATTACCTAAACGATGAAAACAAGTATACTTTTTAAAACACTCGATCCAGGAAACACTCGGCCGAGTATGACTGATCGTACAGCAAGGACGGACTCCCCCGCTAGACAAATGGCCGCGTCGGAATTTCAAAGCAAGTGCTATATCACAAATGTCACAGAAAGAAGAGCCTCGCAGCACAGACATGAATGCAATGTCACGTGCATATTGGCTTCAGCATTCGGGAATCAAGATACATCACCTGAGTAAAAGTTGGCGTTCGATATTCTTCTCGTGGTTGCGGAAATAGATGTTAAGATGGCGGGGTAAAAAGCGCGGGAAAAATGGAGAGGAAAGTTATATCACTCTCGGGAAGAAGGACAAGCCACTGATTGGAATTGGGACTAAAAAGGGAAAGAAAATCGCGAGACTTCCGCGGTTTAAAAAAGGGGGAAAGGACCATAATACCAAAGAAAAATACGCACAAAAAATAGGAAAATGTTGACGAGAAAACCCACAAGAAACGAAACAGTGACCTCCCCCCCAAAAAAAAAAAAGTAAAAAAGAAGAAAGGGTCGAAGAAAAATAAAACAACCAAAATAGAATATAAAAACGAGATAAGAACAAGACTAGCGAAGAGAGGAGGAAGAGGAGGAGGAGGAGGACAAGGCAGAAGACCCCCGACACCAACAATAACCCGAGGCGACCGTTCCAGACCCAATATCGAGGACCTAGACTGCAAAGTTGGAAAATACTGACGCCATTACTGACCTAAGTGGGAGTGATCCCGGCCCAAATAAGGAGGGATCACTCCACAAATGGTGTTCGACCCTGGCAGCTGCATGGGCCCGGGGGTGGGAGTGAGGGGGGGGGGGCGTGGAGTGGGTGAGAGGGGTGGAGTGGGTGGGAGGGCGAGGAGTGGGGACTGAGGAGGATATGGAGGTCAAGGAGCAGGGGGGAGGAGAAGGAGGAGAAGGAGGAGTCGGGAGTAGGTGGAGGCAAGGAGTAGGAGTGAGGAGGAAGTACGACAGGAGCGGGGAGTGAGGAGTGGTGAGAGGGAGTGGGAAGTGGGTGGAAGGGCAAGGAGCGGGAGTGGAGGAGTTAGAGAATAAGTAGGGGGATTAAAGGGGGTTGGGTACAGAGTATTTGTACAAAGAGTAATGAATGCGAGGGAGTGAGGCACGTGGGAGTAAGGAGTATATATGGGAGACAACGAATAGGGGCTTATGAATAAGAAAAAAATAACGAATGGGGAATGGGAGAAGGGGAAGGAAGGGAAGCAATATGAGGAAGCAGAGAGTAAAGAGAAGTAGGATATAATTAGCATAGCATAGTAAAAAAGAAACTTGATAAAAGGGAATTAGGGATAGAGGAAGGAGAATAACAACGGACCAAAGAGGCTCCGCGTGGACGACCTGGCATCGTTGAAAAGGTCGTGCAGAATATAACAGAAAAGAGGCGGTCAGTAAAACACTATAAGCCAAGGGAACAAGATAAGCACGTTGGATAAGGACTGTGCTGAGTAAGAGCTCAAGGGTGAGGAGGTATGAGATGCTGAGGCCAAGGGAGGACGCAGCAATGTCTCCAGTTAGTTCAAGGGGTCAACGAGTCCAAAGGGTCAACGAGAGGTCACGGGCGATAAAAGGGGTCAACGAGAGGTCAGGCGAATCGAAGGGGTCAACGAAGGGATCAAGGGTCAACGAGAGTCAGGGCGAGTCGAAGGTCAACAAGAGGTCAAGGCGAATACAAGGGGTCAACGAGAGGTCACGGGCGAGACCAAGGGGTCAACGAGAGGTCAAGGGCGAGTCGAAGGGATCGACAAGAGGTCACGGGCGAATACAAAGGGTCAACGAGAGGTCACTGGCGATTCGAAGGGGTCAACGACAGGTTACCGAGAAGTCCAAGGGGTCAACGAGAGGTCGAGGGCGAGTCGAAGGGATTAACGAAAGGTCAAGAGCGAGTCCAAGGGGCCAACGAGAGGTCAAGAGCGAGTCTAAGGGATCAACGAGTGGTCAAGAACGAATCCCAGGGGTCAACGAGAGGTCAAAGGCGATGGCTTGACCTCCTCAGAATGAAACGAGTCGTGATATTTGATATTTCTATTTTGTGTGTGAAGCAAAACTGCGGGGGATTTACTCGAGAAATGGAGTTCAGGGAGATACTGGGAGGGGGGGGGGAGGTTTTAAGATCATGTGATATATTTTTCTTGTTCGCGAAGATTTTTTTCGCCATTCATTTTTTCTTTTCCTATTCTGTTTTCTTTTTCTTTTCTTTTGTCTCCCCCTTTTTTCTCGTCTCGGATAGTTTTTCCTTTCTTGCCCTCGTTATTTCGCTCCAACACCTTTCTTGTCTCATTTTCTCTCTTCCTTTGTCTCTCCATTTTAGCATTTTATTGCAAGATGAAAAAAAAAATCGCTCTCGCTTCTGCTATCCTCTTTACCCGTCTTTATATAAGATGGAAAAAAAATCCAATTCTATAAATCCGGGTTTAAATCCGATGTCCTGCTGAATTCCCAAGCAGAAAATCATGAAATGGAAAAGGCTTCATCCCCCTGGATCTCCCCCTCCCCCTCCCCCCTCCCCTGCTTGAACTCCAGCTGACCAAGGATCGCTCGCCAAACATTCTTTCAATTCCTACGCGACGGACTCAAGTTAGTTGTTGAATCTGGCGGATGATCCCTAGATTTTATTCTCGCTTTCTTTCTTTCTTTCTCTCTCTCTCTCTCTCTCTCTCTCTCTCTCTCTCTCTCTCTCTCTCTCTCTCTCTCTTCTCTATTTTCTTTTTTTTTCTCTCTCTCTCTCTCTTCCCCGTGTTTTTTTTGCTATGCTTTGTCGTTTTTTTTCTTGACTTTTTTATTCTCTTTTTCGTCTCTCTTTCTTGTCTTCTCTTGTTTCTATTCTTTTCAATTTTTTTATCTCTTCCTCCCTCCCTCCCTCCACCTCCCCCCTCTCTCTCTCTTTTCCCCGTGTTTATTTATTTCTATGCTTTGTCGGTGTTTTTCTTTTTTTCATTCTCCTTTTCGTCTCTCTTTCTTGTCTTCTCTTTTTTCTATTCTTTTCCATTTTGACTCTCTCTCTCTTTCTCTCTCTCTCTCTCTCTCTCTCTCTCTCTCTCTCTCTCTCTCTCTCTCTCTCTCTCTCTCTCTCTCTCTCTCTCTCTCTCTCTCTCTCTCTCTCTCTCTCTCTCTCTCTCCTCTCTCTCTCATTTTCTTCTCCATTCTCTGTACCTCTTCTTTGCTGTAATGTTATAACCTTTATCTATTCTTGAAAATGTTTGGCATTCTTTACTGTAAGCACTATCATTATTCATTTAAGATATTTTATCTTATTTCAAAGTGCGAAATCAAATTTATTTTTGGGATAAATCTAAATTCTAACAATGATGATGGGAGGAGTAAAAAAAGAGAGGAAAAGGGAAAAAAGGAAAATGAGACAAACTAAAAAAAAAAAAAAAACGAAAGAGAAAAACAACAAGAAAAAGAAACAAGAAAAGGAAAGAAAATGAGAAGAGATAGAAATGAGAAAGCTAAAGAAAACGGGAGAACGTAAAACAGAAAACGGAATCCGTATAAATCCCAACAGAAAACGACAAACAGTTGACGAGATGCGCTTAACGCCGCCTCGCCAGACGAGAAATAGATTCATGGTGAAAATAACCCTTAATGCATGGGGCTTACGCTGATCAGGCAAATGAGAAACAATAATAATTATATTTTCGCATTTTAGTCAAGCAGGAACCAATATCGTCCATGTTGCCTCTTCCACCCAGAATGTTCTCCGATGTTCTGGAATATTCGCGGAATTTGAATGCTAAATGAGGTATCGGAGTTTAAGCGCTCTTTTGTATCGTGAAATTCCAGATTCTTATTTTCACCGTTGTTCCACGTGGGTTGTGGAGGGATAATGTCTAAAAAAATAAGTTTTTTTCACATCATAAACTATCATAGAGTATAATTGTTAATCCTGGAATTATATCAATTTTATCATGCATTTGATAAGCGCTGTTCGGATTTGTATCATCTAATATAAAGATATCATGGTAATCCTCATGATAATCCTCCGGTAAAACTAGAAAATGAGAAATAAACAAAATAACCATTTTTTGATCATGTGCACAAATGTATGCTGACTGTGTGGGATTTCGTGGCAAAAATAATGGTCATGTAGGTTTTGTTTTTGTGTGGGCGATTCTCCTATTCATGTTTATGTTGATGAGGAATACATATATGCGTTCGTAATTATATGTATTCATGCAGACACGCGTATCATTGCCGCAAAAAAAAAAAAAAAAAAAAAAAAAAAATAATAATAATATCAGGATTTTCTACTTATTACCGATATTACACATATATTTATTTATTTTCTTTTTGTACATGTGTATAGCTAGAGAGACGCAGAGAGGTGAATAGGAAATAAATAAATACAAGTTTGTATGTGTCACTAAGTGTGCTTTTGAAATCATACTTACGCACATAGACACAGACACACACACACACACACACACACACACACACAACACACACACACACACATATACACACACACACAATCGTATCAATGTATCATCTATTTACTTATCTGTGTTTCTTTAAGTATACATATGCCCAGAAAGAAGATAAAGCGAACAAACAAATAATAATGCTAATAATTACGATACCCTGATTTCCAACCAAAAATAATTAAATATTTCATCCCGCCGATAATTCATTCAGAAAAAAAAATATATTTGCTACACAATCATAAAACTTCCCCTTCCTTTTGAATCGCAAATGAATTAATCAAACCTGCTTTCAATTCACCCCTGCATGTGTAATGATATCAGAGACAAATAAACAAACAAACAAATGAACAAACACCAAAAAAAGGGATAAAAAAAATGGAAGGATAAAATACGAAGTTCGTAAACACGCTAAAATATGTATTCCCGGAATTCTATATCACCCGAGGGAAGTTTACGTCAAAGGAAA